CACAGTATAGTTATATATCTAAAGTTTTCTTTTACAGGAGTCATCATCCTTTGCTGCAAAGATGCAGGGAGCTGTTCTGGTTGCCATAGCTGCCTCAATTGGTAATTTGCTGCAGGGATGGGACAACGCTACCATTGCAGGCATGTCGTAAGTGATATGTATATATGTATATATATTATATAAAATATAAATATTATATATATATGTGATATGTGTATATATATATGTGTGTGTGTGTGTGTGTGTATTTATTTATTTATAACTGATGTATTGCATTTTTATCATCATTGCTACGACCTAGTCTAAAGTCAAGAAAATTATTATGTTTAACATGATATCTATAACTAGAATTAAAATATTTGATCATCTTTCTATCAGTCTGGGTCCTCATTAGGATTGTGGTTGATAGCTCATTAATTGTCACTGCCAATGAATAAAGCTTCAGTTTCATCTGATTGTGCAATCCTTTCATTTCATATTAGATCCAGAGAAATCTCGATATTATATTGCTCTGTCTCTTTTTCTATACCAGATTGCTGCTTTGTTTTGTAGAGGCATATGAAATATGATACAAATTCTTATCTTTGTAAATATTTTCTTCAGGAGCTGTTCTATACATTAAAAAGGAATTTAAATTGGAGAGTGAGCCCACTATAGAGGGTCTAATAGTAGCCATGTCACTTATTGGTGCTACTATTATCACAACATTCTCTGGAGCAGTATCAGATTTGGTTGGTAGGCGACCCCTTCTGATTATTTCATCAGTCCTGTACTTTGTCAGTGGTTTGATAATGTTATGGTCTCCGAATGTTTATGTCTTGCTCTTGGCAAGGCTTATTGATGGATTTGGCATTGGTCTTGCTGTCACACTTGTGCCTGTATATATTTCTGAGACAGCTCCATCAGAGATAAGGGGATTGTTAAATAAGCTTCCACAGTTCAGTGGCTCTGGAGGCATGTTTCTGTCATACTGTATGGTTTTTGGAATGTCACTAATGGCAAATCCAGCTTGGAGAGTGATGCTTGGTGTACTCTCTATTCCTTCCCTTTTATATTTCTTATTGACAATTTTCTGTTTGCCGGAATCTCCAAGGTGGCTTGTAAGCAAAGGGAAAATGCTCGAGGCAAAATTGGTTTTACAAAGATTGCATGGAAGGGAGGATGTTTCAGGTTTGTGGCAGCAGGAATTTGTCACTGTACTTGTTTGTTGCAGAGGCCTTTTGCATTTCCTAATTACTAAAATATGCATGTGACAAATAAGTACTTTCTGTTTATTAAAACTTCACAATTGTTTCGTTAACTAAGTCTATCTGTTTTCTTTTTCCAGTCCCCAGCATTGCACAGGCATGTGTATCCTCTTAAGCAACTAGAATGTACTTTAAAGGCAATCCGTAATCAACTGAATAATGGCGGGGGATAAATCCACTTGAGCAAGATAACCAAACTTTTGCTATCATGTTTATGGGAAAACAGTTGCTTTGAAAGTGTTTGTGGGCCACATGAGACCACCAAGTATAACTTTTTGGTATTCATGTAATTATATATCTTAGATATAAAGTAGAAATGACTAAAGACGAAATAAATTTAGTTGCTTTCCTGGACTCTAAAAAAGTTGGGATCAAACTTAGATATAGTATCTCATAAGTTAGAGTTCCTAAATGAGTTGTGAATGTTTCCAGAATCAAAGTCCTCTTATATTTGGAGTATTATTTTCTGGTTTTAAGTAGCACAATAGTAGCAAGGAATGATTGATTGTTTCTAGATTTCTTTCTAGTACAAATCATGTTTTGGTAGATATCTAACTCCAAAGATATGTTTGTAATTTACAATATTGATGATTTTATTGCTTAGTGTCATTTCTATTTTTTTTCTTACAAAGGATAAATAGCGAAGGCAGGATTTGAGCCCAGAATCTTGCGATGAACTATCAAGATCTTTACTAGCTAAGTTTGTTGACACCTTCAACAAAAATCTAGCTGTCATTTCTGTCTCTATGTTACATGTTACCTGTATTGCTTTCTTTACTCATGAATGTTAACAGTAAATAGGTCATGCAGACAAAAAAGGTATGTTGTACATAATCTTACACAATATGACAGAAAAAGTTAGCATCTTTTTTTTTTCTTCTTTTTGGTTTGAACCACTCATCCACTCATCCAGTTGGCTTTAACTAAAGTTTGTCATTAGAACCATGATAAAAAGAAATCCTTTGGCTCAATTTTCTAGTTGTTATATTCTTTGTTGATATTTTTTAGTACCAACATTTTTATGACCTGGTTGGGTTAGCTTTATTGGTACACATTTTTATGCATGCTCAATACGGTACTTCTTAAACATTGTTTTTGCAACTTAATTATTCTTAAAATTCATGTGACTTTTGTATTTGTGATATTTATAGGAAGTTGTTAATGAACCTTGCAAATAACCGAAAGGATTAAATATTATGATCTATTCTTTTTCTTCAATATGTCATTAATTGTTGACAAGTCAGTTAATTTTGAACTCTAAAACATCCAAAATTATTTAACTTGATGAATACTCATCACATTGTTCTTTTCTTTTTGTGCTATTAAATTTGCCTTCATGGTGTTTTAGTCAAACAAAATAAAGTTTTAAAGAAGTTGGAGACATGATTTGCTTATTTCTTTTCCTTTCAAGTACACAGGAGAAATGGCCCTTCTTGTTGAGGGCTTGGGACTAGGTGGTGAGACATCCATTGAGGAGTACATAATTGGCCCTGCTAATGAGCTCCCTGATGACCAGGGAGCAACTGCTGATACTGAACAGATCACATTGTATGGGCCAGAAGAGGGTCTTTCCTGGGTTGCACGACCTGTGAAAGGACAAAGCATCCTCGGAAGTGCCTTTACCCTTTTATCTCGCCATAATAGCATGGAGATGCAGAGTAGTGTACCACTAATGGATCCATTGGTGACCTTATTTGGAAGTGTCCATGAGAAACTACCTGAAATGGGCAGCATGCGAAGCACAATGTTCCCTAATTTTGGAAGCATGTTTAGTGTAGCAGAACAGCAACTAAAAATTGATCAGTGGGATGAGGAGAGTCTTCAACAGGGTAGTGAAGACTATGCGGCTGATGCTGGAGGAGGTGAGTCTGATGACAATGTTTGAAGTCCATTACTCTCTCGTCAGACAACAAGCTTGGAAGGGAAGGATATAGCCCCACCACATGAGAGTTCTTTAAGTTTGAGACAAACTAGTAGTCCTATCCATGATAACACCAGAGAGGCAGTTGGTAGCATGGGTATTGGTGGGGGATGGCAATTGGCTTGGAAATGGTCTGAGAGAGAAAGTGAAGATGGGAAGAAGGAAGAAGGTTTCAAAAGAATTTATCTACACCAAGAAGCTGTCCCTGAGTCACACAGAGGTTCTCGGGTTTTGCTACAAGGAGGTGAAGCCCCAGAAGGCAGTGCATTTGTCCAGGCTGCAGCATTGGTGAGCCAGCCTGCTCTTTTTTCTAAGGAGCTTATGGACCAGCATCCAGTTGGACCAGCAATGGTTCATCCATCAGAAACAGCCGGTAAAGGCCCAAGGTGGTCCGATCTATTTGAACCAGGAGTAAGACGCGCTTTGTTTGTTGGAATTGGAATCCAGATCCTTCAGCAGGTAAGTCTACATGTTAAGAAATGATAATTAAATTCTGGTTGAGACCAGTAAGATTTTGAATATTTGAGTGTTGGACATCTTTGTTAATTACTCCAAAGCTTTCATTTGGTTTAAGTAGCTGGGAAGGTTTTTCTTCTTGTACCATGTAATGGGCACCAGGCAACCTCTATGAGTAACCTTCTGTTAGCTATCATGAGTTTTACATTACTATAATAGATTTTAAATTTTCTAGTGAGCCTGTTCTTCCAGTTTAACTTGTCAGCATGAGCTAATTCAGAGCCCTGTTCTGTATTTGTCATCTTTTTCTATCATACCCTTTTAGTATGCAAAATTCGATGCAGTATTCATAAACTCCTGAATAACTAGATAACTATGTACGTAATTCACCTACTCCTATTTATAAGTTTGTCTCCACTTGTTACCAATTATCCTTCTATCATTTGACATGATGACGAGAAACTTTTGATAATTTGTTGTATTTGTGGTTGTGTTAATTTTGGAAAGAAATAAAGATGTTCATGCTATATCATACATCTGCCAGTGTTTGTTTTTGGCTTGTATTTACTACTCAGCACTAGTTTCTAGTGACTTGACATGCAGATAAAACTATACCAATCCTGCAAATGTGAAGATCTTATGTACGGTGTACCCTTGGCATTATTTGATGAAAAAAAATGAATTTGCATGGTGAATTTGTTATCTGATCATCCACTTGCTAAACAATCATTGCTATTATAATTATTTGTGTTAGGTCATTTATATTGTTTGAATTTTTTTCCTTGCAAACGATGACTGAGCCTTGATGAAAGAAACTGGAATTTTCATACTGGACAGTCACAATTCTCTTCCTATTATTACTAATTTTTTGTTTCACGCCTTAAATTCACCTTTAATATGATTGGAACACTAATTTGTAGGCTTTATTGAATTGAGGGGAACTTATGTTAACATCTGGTTTTCTTTGATGAATGATCAAGACAAGAATTTATTATGTTTAAAGTATAAATAGTCTGAGCAGAAAAAAGATATATTCCAAAAGATTAAAGAAAAAAATTAGTTAAGGAGTTTGTCCTTCTAACTTGTAATATTGGAAAATGAGGTTCTGAGATTGCCTTCATTGGAAAAAAAAGTTCCAAATTGATCTATAATACAGTTCTGCATTTACATACACCATTGGGTGAGACCTTTTTCTTTTTAGCAGTAGATATTCCAGGGTTTACTAGGTATTATCTTTTGATGTCTGGCTGGTCTGCTTTAAGGCCTTAAAGACATGATATTGCATAGTGGATCAGATAATGGAAAGAATGCTTCTTGATAAACATTAGACTTCTTGTAGATACTTTAATAAGTATAATAAGATACTTCACTCTTCTTAGACAAGCTATATTAGAGCACCACTCCTAGGTTTGGTTATTTACATTTCTTGTGGTATTGAGAGCAAGGTTTTCAATTTCGGTCTGTATCGGTGTATCGAGCCCTACTCGGTATGGTACGTATTAAGGTGAATTGTGACCACCCTATCAAGATCCAGAATTTAGTATATCATCACTGCAAATTGCAACATGTACAAATACCACTAATTTGTTATCCAGAAGATTTTCGTCTTTGCTATTTTTTTTAGGATACATCGTTATTCTAATACCGCTTCTCTGCTATGCAGTTTTCTGGGATAAATGGGGTTCTCTACTACACTCCTCAGATACTTGAGCAAGCTGGTGTTGAAGTACTACTTTCTAATATTGGCATTAGTTCAGATTCAGCATCTATCCTTATTAGTGCTGTCACGACATTGTTAATGCTTCCTAGTATTGGTGTTGCTATGAGGCTCATGGATATCTCAGGGAGAAGGTCATTCTGCTTCTTGTTTATTAGTTTGTCCATCCCTTTTTTATTTGCATGATTTCACTGTTCCCTTAAAAGTCCTTGTATTATTTGCATATGTCATGAACCAAGGATTTTAATTTCGAATAATACCGCCTGTACCAGGCGGTACATACCAGTCTGTCCGCCAGCAGACCAGTATGCGGACCACCCGCTATCGGGTGGTACCATCGATTGGGGCTGCTTCCGCCCCATTACCACCCTAAATCGGTTGGTGACGGTCAATTTCGACTATCGCCGCCCACTATCGGGTGGTATTAGCCGAGGGAGAGCTAAGGGAGAAGAAAGAAGAGGGAGAAGAGAAGGTAAAACCTCGAGATCCGTGTCGCTCTCCCTCAACGATCCTGATCCCTCGTCACCCTCCCTCGTCGGACATTGCAGATGAGATGTCGCCTCCTCGTCTGAGGCGACAAGGCCTTGACGTCATCGGCGACTTCTCCTTATCCGCTCAGGGAGAAGAAGACTCGGTGATGACGCGGGCAACCGCCTTGTCGCCCTTTTTTGCGCGGGGAGAAGGAAACATCGGTTTCTTCTCCCCACGCAGGCAGAAAAAAGAGGCGACGTCACCTATTTTTGAACTTATATATATATATATATATATATATATATATATATATATA